TTCATGAACAGCTTTCATTTGATACCCATACTGAAAAAATACACCCAAGGTTACCCAGGTCCACGTTTTGGTCTATATCTCGAGACCCTAGTCACCCAGCTATATGAAAAGTGCTCAATCTTAAAGCATTCATGAACAGCTTTCATTTGATACCCATATTGAACAAATACACCCAAGGTTACCCAGGTCAACGTTTTGGTCTATATCTCGAGACCCTAGTCACGCAGCTATATGAAAAGTGCTCTATCTTAAAGCGTTCATGAACAGCTTTAATTTGATACCCATATTAAACAAATACATCCTAAGGTTACCCGGGTCCACGTTTTGGTCTGTATCTCGAGACCCTAGTCACCCAGCTATATGAAAAGTGCTCAATCTTAAAGCATTCATGAACAGCTTTCATTTGATACCCATACTGAACAAATATACCCAAGGTTACCCAGGTCCACGTTTTGGTCTATATCTCGAGACCCTAGTCACCCAGCTATATGAAAAGTGCTCAATCTTAAAGCATTCATGAACGGCTTTCATTTGATACCCATATTGAACAAATACACCCAAGGTTACCCAGGTCCACATTTTGGTCTATATCTGGAGACCCTAGTCACCCAGCTATATTGAAAAGTGCTCTATCTTAAAGCGCTCATGAACAGCTTTAATTTGATACCCATATTAAACAAATACATCCTAAGGTTACCCGGGTCCACGTTTTGGGGCCACGCCCCCTTTATATATCAAAATATTTTTTACCCTGTGACCATCCCTGGAAGATATCCAGTGCGTGTGTAAAATTTGGTTACGATCGGCTTATTCGTTTAGGAGCCAAGTGTGTCTATAGGTACATACATAATTTGAATTTTATATATATAGATACGCCATAAGTTATTCAACAATTTTCTAAACAAAATTTAAGTATTTTAAGGGACGACATTAACTGGTTAACAATGCAATATGAATAGCTTTTGTTTCCTGTATGCGCCTATAAAAAGTAACGCGTATAAATGAAACCAGGTCAGTTGTCGCGATAGTTGCATCTAAAATTCATTCAAGCGCTCCTAAGCAAAAATAAATACACTAATTCTCATTGCAAGCAAAGGACTCGACCCTCTTAGAATATTTAACCATACAACATAAAACGTGAATTCTTTCGTACTAAAATCGACTTGAGTACCTCCTGATATCAATTACACACATTTAGTCAGAAATAGAATTATGAGAGAGTATATATGTATGTATGTATATTAAGGTGGTCCAAAAATAGTAAAGTCGTAATTTTAGTGCTGCCATCTCCAAGGATTGTTCTATATCGAAGAAAATGTACCCCTACTTTCTTTATTTTTAAATCAAAAAATATTTAGGGGGCTCAAAGCGCTCAAAAATTTCCATGTATTTTATATTGGGAAAAAACAACTTTTCGTATAATTGGTACGGATTTGTTAAAAACCAATATTTCGCGATCGGAAAACTCTGGTTCTCTTCAGGAGACTTCCAATATTTATATCCATTTGTTTATTTAACCATTTTTTAATACTAAAGATTTTTTATTAGTCCCCCTCATTGCATTTTCTGGTTTTTTTGTCGGTCGTATAAAATACAGTTACCATGAAAAAATGGTAAAAGTAACACTTGGGTATTATTATTGAAAGTCTCTTGAAGAGAAAGGGAGTTTTCCGATCGAAAAATTTTGATTTTCAGACTTCTACACTATTTCTACGAAAAGTTGTCTTTCCCCATATAAAATACATGGAAAACTTTGAGCGCTTTGAGACCCCCTAAATATTTTTTGATTTAAAAAAAAAAAATAGGAACATATTTTTACGGTATAGAACCATCCTAGGGGATGGCGGCATTAAAATTCCGACTTTACTTTTTCGCATGCATATTTGGACCACCCTAATGTGCATATGTATGTGTACATACATTTGTGCAAATGTATAAATGAATGTGCTTGCACTTATGTACATACATATGTATAACCATTATTGCTCAATGAGCAGCTAAGCCGTCAAGTCATTGCTATATTTGCATATTCTAATGCGCTGGATAACACTTTCAGTATTGTTTGCCCTTTTGGTTTTTAACCTACAAACTTGTATGCAAAACACTTCCTTTCAATTTGCCGTACAAGCGCACGTTCACGTTCTTCTTGGTGGCTGCAGTTTATGTTGACAATAAAGTTGAAAGTTGGTACTATTGAAACTTCAAAAAACTTTGCTATTACTAATTTGCATGCGATTTTCTATTTTCAGTACGGTTCAATAGGAATTCGCAATCACAGCCACTGGCACCGACGCCGCATACGCCGTGTTGCCTATGTAGTTTGGCGCTCGTAAAACCCTTTGAACGATATTTGTGTACATACATACACTAACATGCACTTGAATAGGGACAACGCTTTTTCACTTTTTTCTCTAACAAAAACCATATAAACGCAAGTTCCAAACTTTTAAAAAGTCATACAATTTTCATCGAAATTTCTATATTTTTTTTCTCAGTTACCGAAGGGTCGCCTTTTTTTATTTAGAAAAATTGCAGCAGAGCGTCAGTAAAAATTTTTCAAAAATCAATGGTAATTTTTAGCATATTCAAAAAATGCTTAAGGTGGAAAAAACTCCATGCAGGAATTTGTGTTCAGAAAAATATTTGAATTAAAATAAAAAACCATTCTATCTTTCAATTTGACAGTAAATATGTTTAATTAATTAAAAACTATTGACAATTACCGGGCATATGTATTGAAATAACGCGGTGAGAGTGAAAAATTTTCTTATTTTGATTAAAATATTTTTCTGAACAATGGTACTATTTTTATCCTGTGGGGAGTATTTTCCAGGTACATCTACAAATATAGCCAGATTGACTGTACTAAGTATTTCAATTAAAAAATAATGGAAATGAAATGAAAGAAAAATAGTTAAAGAAAAAAGCGAAAAAGCATTGTCCCCATTCAAGTGCTTTGGAGTGTACTACTTATACATATATGGACATTCAAATGGCTTGCACGCTTTAGTGCTTTTACTTGTGTGTGTGTGTGCTATGGTTTTCCGTAAGGGTATCTAATGCAAGCACAGACGGTTGTGGGGTATGAATAATATCATTTTGCGGCAAAGTTTTCGACGCCATTGTTGCGGCAATCGGCATTTGATTGCTATCGATAGAACTGCGCTGATGGCAAACAGTAGAGTAGTAGGTGGTAGTGCAAGAACATAAAGTTGAGAATCAAACAAAGAAAGAAACTAAAAAATGATTAAAGGATTGCAGAAAAGGCACAGAGGATATTTAAAAAAAAAAGAATATGTACGTTAGGGTGGTCAAAAAATAAAAGTAAAGTCGGAGTTTTAATGCTCTCAACCACTAAGATTGTTTTATGCCGAAAAAAATTATACCTCTGTTTCTTTTGTTTGTTTGTTGAAATCAAAAAACATTTATATAGAGCTCAAAGTTATCCATGTATTTTATATGGGGAAATACAGTTTTTCGTAGAAATGGTACAGAATTCTTGTAAATCAATATTTTTCAATCAAGAAACTTTGGAGTATTTCAATAATAATACCCAAAGTTTTATTTAACCATTTTTTAATATAAAAATGAAAAGAAAAAAATCCCTAGTATTAAATAGCGGTACAATAAACCACTGGATATTATTTTTTCAATACAGAACAATCCTTTGGTGCGAAATTTCCGGCTTTATCTTTTCTCATGCATTTTTGGACCAACCTAATGCACATATACAGTGTGAAGTCAGGCAAATATTGCTAGAGGTATATATCTAGCTGTTAATGTATTTGTATTAGCGTAATGCCTGTGGATACTTTGCTAACTTTACCTTATTTGACGAGATATGAAAAGGTTAACTCTCGACTCGAAATTTTTACGACAGTTTGTTGATTTTTTTAAATTTTCCACATACTTTGAAATTTAAATTCATTCGGTCTTTGTTAAAGAATGAACTATATTTTTATGAAAAAAAACTAAACTTAATTAAGAAAATTATAAATTACTAAAACTTGTCAATATATGGCGCGCTTGTCCATATGATACGGGTTGTAGTTTTCAGCAAAATGATAGAATGGTTAAAATAAATGTCTGAGCGAAACTTAAGGTTAAGATAGATATTAAAATTGCATGAGAAATATTTTCAGAGAACATTTTAACCCATCACCTCCCGCCTAAACGGGTCCGCTCGACCCTTACTATAAGAAACCTTTCAAAAAATAATTTTGGAAGGTCGGAGAATTTTACTATAGGTCTTCTCATTCAAATTCAACAGGTCACCAACGCAAAAGTGTCTGAAAATTAAAATTTAAAGATGAATTTTAAAATATGTTGTGCATGGAAAAAATTCAAGTTTTTTCGCTGCTTCAGAAATACTATAGATACTGAGCACAAATAAAATAAAAATCAATGTTTTTGATCGACGATCGTCAAATTATTTCTGTTTTCTATAAATCCAAACAATTTTGTTCAAGCGACGTTAAGATTCTTGTTCTTATTTTCTAATTTTCAGCTGTATCCAACGTTGCCGTTTCGCTTAGATGCTGCTTCAGAAATACTATAGATACTAAGCACAGAGTTTCCATTAGAAAAGGCCTAAATTTCAATAAATTACAAAAAAATTTAACGAATTGAGAAAAATTTAAAAGAAGAAAAAACTGCTCTTCTGTTAAATTTGGTTTCTGGCACATAGGATAATTTCGCGCAAAGGGCGAGAGATATAAATTTTTATCAGTGATCTGCGTTTATATTTTGGATTTAAAATTAGTAGTTTTATAACAATAACTGATATGCTTTTAATTGAATCTAATTGCGATAACCCAAAAAATTGCATTGCTGTTTAGAAATTTTGTTAAAGGTTATATTAATAAACAAATAAATAAAATAAACCATTTTGTCAAAGAAAAAGTTAAAATATTTGCATAGGTTACGAAATGAGACACCGTGCATTGAGAAATTACTGCATTGGGAATTCCTTTACGGCACTGTTCAATTATAGAGCGTGGTAGTAGACGAGAGTAAGCAACTAAATGTAAGAAAAAAAATCTAAAAATTTGAAATAAAAAGTTATTTGTGGCTGCATTCACACTTCCTCTTACTTCGCTTGTGTTCTATAAAATAATTTCTGAAACTTTTTTTAAAAATGCCTTTTACTTATTAGGCTCAAATGCACATAAGTAAAGCCATTTGTTTATAAATAAGTATCCTTCAATGCAGCTGTAAGATTCTAAATTGCTTAAATTGCTATTTTATTGATTTTTCATACGTCCACAGCAGGGCATTAACACCTGACGCCAGCAAGGATAATGCACTTTAACCCACTGAAGGGTCAGTCTGCGCTTATAACAAGCTATTTTCAACAGACAACAGCTTCACCTATTTCGATAGACACGCGATTTGTAGAACGAGAATTTTAACGGCAATCCCTTTATGCGTTGTGATGTTGAAATGTTATTTGTGTTTTTTTCTTAATTCTTTTAAACTTTAACTCACTAAAACACTCACAAAAGCCACAAAAATGTACTAACAATAAAACAAAGTTTGAAAATAGTTTTTAGTTCACTCGCCAAAGAGTACAAATTTCGGTAAGCAAACAAACAACTGTTAAACGCGAACGCTCCAACACGACTATTCGTTCGATTGCTAAAGGAATGGAATTTCTTAGAAATTTGTTTTGATTTTTTCGTTTGCTATTCAAGCCGCTCGAAGTCAGACGAAAAAGAAGGAAACAAACACAAATGTCCTACTTCTCCTTCCCAACGTCGATAGATCGTATCAAATAAATTGTGCAAAAACAAAAACAAAGTGCAGAAGAAAACGAGCTTATGTATGTATATGTGGTGGTGCTTGTAATGTAAAAATGTCCTTGCGCAGTTTGTCGGTTGATAGTGGCAAATGTAAGCAAACCGCCCGCCCGCACAGCCAAACAAATCAAACGACACAATTGAGCACGAAGACAAGACATACATTGGTTGTGTTCCCTAACTCGCAAGAAGTTGCAAGTATTCACAGGATTTTACCAGAAAGCGTTTCCGTGCTCGGTTCTCTGGTAAAGTAGGGGAAAACGGGAGAGTAAAATCGGTCCTCTCTTTGTCAGAAGTTGCAAGGTTTTACCCGGAAAATGAAAAAACGTCCACGGTGTATTTGACAGTTCTAGCAGTTTTTACCCGAAAAGCGTTCCGTACCTTTTGGTTTTTCTCTCTTTCTCTGAGAGCAACTTTGGTTTTTGACAGTTTTTATCCAGAAAAGTTGAGGAACGAAACTATTATGTAGGTATGAACACATTTACGAGTACTTACTGCTTTAGCTTCTCCACGGGCAAGGCATCCGCATACGCCCCGATGACCCGAAAACACTTTAGTCACTGCCAGTGTTGCCAAGTTTTGAATTTAAAAAAGCACCAAATTTTTATTGGAGTATTTAATGGACTTTGTATGCATGAAAAATTGTATTGTAGGGATGCCGATTCAAATTAATAAAAATCAATGTTTTTGATCGACGATCGTCGAATTATTTCTGTTTTCTATAAATTCAAAAAATTTTGTTCAAGCGTCGCGACGTTAAGATTCTTGTTCTTATTTTTGCTTAGATGTAAGCAAAACTGACTGTTTCAATGTTGAAATTTTCTTCGTTTTTATTTTCCTTTTTAATGTGTCTTATTTGAACGTATTATCCACTGGCGCTTAGTGGGAAAAATATTTTTGTGTCAAAAAAGTGGTCTACTCTTCAAATCCCACGCGATTTTTAATAACCTCTTTTTTCAAAAGGTTCGTTAGATATTAGTTTAACTGTTACGAGATGCAGCTGCTTTTTTCAATAGTCGTAAAATAATAAAACAAATTCAGCCCAAACTAAAGGTCTTAAGGGCGATTCCTGGTTCCAGCAATGGCGAATTACCGGATGTAATTTTGACATGACTGGAAGTGTTGCCACATATTTTGTTGGTAAACATATGCTCTCTCGCTTATGATTGTTGTTGAGACATGATTTTGTTTCGACTTGTGTAAAGTTTTTTATAAAACTTATGATTGGTATAAATTGTTCCCCCTTTTTGTTAAGACTTACAGATTTGATGTCTTCAAACTAAAAACAAAATCACCTGAAAACGCATCAAGCACAAATCGATAAAAATTTCGCGTCTTCAGTAAAGAAAAGCACTAAATTTAGTGCGAAAAGCTTCAAGTTGGCAACAGTGGTCACTGGTATTAGGTGGCCAAACAATAACAACGCAAATACTTGTACATCGTGGTTGTTTAAGAAAATCCGAATGGTGTAGAGTGAAAATAAGGGGATGGCGTCAGGTGGTACCGGTAAATTTTATAGTTCCTTATCGTTTTTTTTTTTTTATTTTGGTGCGAGGCATTAGCGGGTAGACTTTTGTTGGTGAAGTCATTTAATATGGTCGGGAAAGTTTCTACAGTGAAGTGGTGTGCAATTGAACTAAATGGAACGCAGTGAAGAAAGGTGAAAGAATTAGAACCGTGGTTTCTTAATATCTCGATTACAAGTAGTAATTTGAAATTTATTGTGCTACCTAATTTATCTACATACTTGAAACTTGGCTCAAGCACTTGTTTCTTAATTTCTTCATAGCATTTGCGATGAATCTTGCTTTCACGATGGGTTGATTTCTTAAAGGCTTCACTGTAGCATTGACTATGACCATTTGTCTTAATATTCTATAATTACAATAACTACGTTCAATAGCGTAGACAGAAAAGGTTAAAAAAGCGAATTTTCCAACAACTTCAGTCTAGACTTTATTGTTACGAGTAGTTCAAAAAAAATTTAATTATTACACCGACCGACACGATTTTGTACCCATGAAAAAGACAAGCATTTTCGGAAAGTAGAGGCAAGAACAAAGTATCTATTTTTGCCGTTTATCTAAATCAAGTCATTTAAGGTTTCAAAGAGCAAAAAAAAAAACAACACTAAGCAACTCTAACGCTGAATTGATCAGAAGAGTATTACCTTGTGATTTTGAAAACTTTATTAGACTACGCAGCTAAGAGTTTTTTGGTTCGGTGATTACGAATCTAAAAACAGTTCTTAAAATAAGGAATAACGATCTATCCGCCATTTTAAATTTTTTAAAACTCATTTCGGATATTAAATCTCATAAAAATCTGAACATTTTTTAAAAATCTGCAATCAGCAACAACAAACCCCTTAGATACGAAGTTTAATAAAGTTTAAAAAATTACATGGCAACATTTTATTGACCGATTCAGCATAGGGGTTGTTTTTCCCCAAAGAAATCATGAATGACTGGTTTCTGGAAAAACGAAAAAATACGATACTTGGTTTTTGTCTCTACTTTCTGAAAATGTTTGATTTTTACATGGGTGCAAAAGGAAATTCAATTTTGTCGGATGGTGTTATCAACATCCAACTTGTGTGCAGACAGGAGATATCACTCAAAAGCATCTGGTAAGAGTTTTCTTTATAAGAGTGACTGTATTTCTGTTAATCGATTTATTTTTCACTTGTAGTCCAGAATTTGGGAGGAAAAAATTAAATTTTTGCGCGAGAATGAATTTTTTAACCTCAATCATCTTCTTAGGCTGTAGGCGACGCTGTATCGAGAAAAAGAGTAAGCACATAGTGGAGCAGCCCATGATACAAACATTTGAAGGTAAAACCGCTGAGAGTCAGCCTGAGCATTTTTGAACTTTCCCCGTAGCGAATGTCATGCATTAGTCACTTAAGAGTCGTGTACGGAAAAGTTACGTCTTAAATGACTTTGGGCTCCGTTTGTATGGAAGTCGTTCATGACTTTATCATATAAATGGTAATTTCGTCGTTGATGTCATCTGCATGACTTTGCCATGCAGTGATCATTGATGACATTCAAGCGACAATGTCCTGCAATGAACTTTTTATAAGTGACCGCTGCAAGACATTGTCTGTTATAAGTCTTTGATAGGAGTACACCTGCATGACATTGTCACCAGTGTCGTTGTCAGCTACATATATGTCGTTTAGGATTCACAGAAAGTGCGACGATGTCACTAAATCCTCATTAGTGACGATGTCACCGGTGACCATTTTCGCTCCTGAGATGCTGATACCATGTTCTGACCGACATCGAAAACATGTTTTCGCTTCTAAAACTGGTTTTCGACCTAAAACATGTGTTTTCGTCTATGTAAAATCTGTCAAACGAAAACCAGTTTTCGCTGAAAACTACTTGAAAACTCACGTTCCACTCATTCCAATCGGTGTCTTCACTAGTTTTTTTCGATTATTTATCGAAGTGGAAGTCGTATTTTCTCATCTTTAATACGCTATTTCGTATTTATTGTTAATTGGCTGGCCAAACTAAAATAAGAATGAAAGTAAGAGGTTGGTAATGACAAGAAAATGTGGGAAAAGTATTTTGGTTTCGTTTTTGTGTAGCAAAACTGCAATCAGAGGATGTAAGAAATGTCAACGAAAACACTAACAGCCGGTGTGAACAGCCTTCAGCCCACAATTCCAAACCTGTTTTCAAAGTGTTTTCGTTGTCGGTCAGAACATGGTATTACATAACCAAAATGTTTTCAAATTTTCAATCTCACAAATTCATTCTAACTTTCAGTCTCAAATAAAAGAAAATTTAAATATTTTAATCTACTTATCTTTTGTTTTACTTTTATTTGGCATTTGAGTTGCTCTCAAAATTTATAATTTTTTATAGTAGACAAACTTCCAAAAATAAATGATGGCCGACGAGTTGAGCGAGCGGTTTTACCTTGAAATATTTGTATCATGAACACGCCTATTGTTGGCTTGTATTGCAGTACATATAATTTTCTCCTATTTTTCAGCAACAGCGATGACGAACTTATAAAAATCGTAGCTGAAACCAGTGATCGGACTTCATAAAAAATTTGTGTGGTATAATCTGGAAAAAAATGTGGTAGATATCAGGTTTTGGATCAAACTTTGCACAAAAATTAAAAAAATTCTGCAAGGTTTCACCTAAATCGCAAACATTTTAATTAGAATCTAAAACAAAATTAATTTTAGTATAATAAAGTGCAAGATTGGAGTTGCTAAAAATTGCGTTGAGTTTTGGCATTTTTTTCCTTGGCAGTTTCCAAAATTTCTGCAACCTTGGCATCATCCCAGCTTTTCTTTCTATCACATCACGATGTAGCGAACAAATGTGGCTCGTTCCAGAAACAGCTAATTGTGATTTGTAAAATTAAACAACGCTTAGAAACTTAAGATACACTGAAATTTGCTAATACTTTCACAAAAATCGCCGCTTTTTCACATTCTCGCTATTAATAATTTTTATAAATCATATATTTTGCAATTTAACACAATAAAACCACGTTTCCTGTCGAAAAATTTAATATTGAGAAAATTTACTATTTTACTGTTTATTTTATCCTCCCATTCTGCCTGTTGTTAGTGTTTAGTGTTGTACAATTTTTTCTCTTAAAATTAAGAAAATTATGTCGTGCAAAAACAAAAATACTCAAAAACGCGAATATGTGGTAGATTTCAGAACTTGTGCGATAGATGTGGTAGGTGCTCAAAAAGTGGCAGATCTACCACAATGTGGTAGAAGTCCGATCACTGGCTGAAGCACTGGCTTCAAAAATATCAACATTAATCTCTCT